AAAGTAACTATTTCGCCAAAGTAAACAAAAACATTATACTTTGTTTAAGCCAAAATTATTTATTTAATGAAAAAACATCAATTACTTATTTATTAATGTGCGACGGTGTTTGTTAATTCGCAAGTTGTTTGTCACGCACTGGCCCGGACATGCTATTTAAGACCTTAAGCAGTTCACATAAGTATCAATTTGCCTAATTTAGTAAAAAGATTTCGCCAAAGAACAGTTGCAATATAGACCATTCCGCGCTAACGAAAGACAAAGATTAGCGACATTGCAGATAAGTCACAGTGGTAACATTACAACCATTTCTCTCAGAGGGCGTGTCAACGATAACTGTTGTAATATTAATCAGAAAATAATAAAAATCAAATATTAAGCTTTGCTCCCCGATACGTCACCGCTCCCCATCCGAGGGTGTCACGCGCAGGAAGAAGAATCAACCCGATGTGGATAGTGCGTCTTCGGATTGCACAGACATAACAAAAGAAATAAAACTACTTCGTCAAGCCTTGTCTGGTCTGAACTCAAACCTAACCGAAGCCATTCAATCTATTCAAGAATGCTCGAAGAGACTAGATGATGTTACCACTAAAATCGAACTAACAGAGAAACGACTGAGTGACTTAGAAAATCGACAGACCAAAGAGAATATAGAACTGAAGTCACAGGTCGCCATGCTCATGGACAAAGTGAACACCCAAGAGCAACTACTGCTTAAAAATGAGATAGAAATTGCTGGTGTGCCGGAAAGTAGAAATGAAAGCTTAAGACATATTGTCAAACTAGTTGGTAATAAAATAGGCGTTGACGTGACTGATGAAGATCTCGACTTAACAATGAGAGCTGGCCCTAGAAACTCAACAAAACCCAATATCTCACGATCAATTGTTGTGCGATTCTTGCGTAAACAAAAAAAAGACGATTTCTTATCAGCTGCTAAAATACGCAAGAATATTACTTCAAAGGATATTACACCAGATGTATCGGAGCACAAAATTTATATTAATGAAAGACTAACCAAACAGAATCGCTACTTATTTCGGGAGACTAGATTTCGTACCAAACAATCAAACTTCAAGTACTGCTGGGCGAAAAATGGTCTTATCTATGTTCGTGAGAAAGAAGGAAAGGCTGCCACACTCATCCGTACAATTGCCGATTTGGATAATATGTTCGGCCCAGGAGACACAAACTCTGAAAGCAAAGAAAACTAACGAACACTGTAGGGCTTACATTTGTGTTCTCAAATATTCTCCTAACTATATACTTATAGTTTTGTTTTATTTTACTGAATTCAAAAACTTTGTTACACAGTTTATCCTTAGTAATAGTTTGTGCCATGTCATCATACATTCCGAATCATTCTCTCCGAATACTTGTATAATATGCATCTCCTTGCACGTAGATGTACTTAGATTTATATTGCCTTCAATGATTAACTACTCACTGCTCAATGAAATAATACTTGGTCTCCATTTATTCTTCCATAAAATTCCTCATGGCTACAGCAAAACTTGATACTTTTGAAGAAATTGACCGTACATTGGGCATTGAGTGTTGCGATATAGACCTATTGGATAACTGTACTAATGTGTTCACAGATAACCACGATTTTAAAATATTAGCTTTTAACATTCGCAGCATTAGACACAACTTTGACTCATTTATTGCAGCTCTTAATAGGATGAACATTACCTTTGATATCATTATATTAACAGAATGTTGGCTGTCTGAAAATCCGTATCCCTTACAAATATCGGACTACTCTTATTTTTCCACTACAAAAATGAACAACCAAAACGGTGGTGTCGTTGTATACGTAAACTCCCTGTTGAACCCAACAGTAAGTGAACCAGAGGTTGACGAAGCGGATTGTCTACTCGTTGCGTTACCAAACATAAAAATAATAGGCATATATCGGTCGCCATCTTTTAAAAATACAGACAAATTTATATCTTCTCTGCATAATCTTCTCACTTCTTTTAATCGCAAGGACCCTGTAATAGTCGCTGGTGACATCAATATAAATATCTTAGAGACCTCAAATATTAAAACCACGGAATATCTCGCTGTGATGGCTGAACTGGACTTGCAACAAGCAATACATAAACCAACAAGACTCAACTCTTGCTTGGACCATATTTTTATTCGAGCTGACTCACAGCACAAATTAGGGGCTGTTTGTAAGTGTGACATAACAGACCACAATATGATTCTACTAGGTTTGTCTATGACAAACCTTTCTAACACAAATCAAAATCGTCGAATCTTTAAAATCAACTTTAATCGTGTCGCAGAGGATCTGGAGAAACAAGATTGGAATGACGTATATAATAGTTGTGATGTTAACTTAGCTACTGAAAAGTTCAACGACATACTCCAAACCCATATAACAAAACACATCACCTCACACTGTGTTAGACGATCCAAACAAATATTAAAACCTTGGATCACCCCGGGGTTAAAGCGTTGCATGTCACATCGAGATAAACTACATTTAGATCTTCGTAAATTCCCCAATGACCCAATCCGTCAATTGGTTTATAAGCGGTACAGAAACTTTTGTAACAACCTTTTGCGCAAACTTAAAAATGCCTATGAAACTCAAGAATTACAAAAAAACAAAATAATCCTAAAAAACTTTGGAAATCCATCAAAAATATTTGTTCGCTTAAAACCAACCCATCTAAGAACTCTGATTTGTTAACAGTTTCCTCTGATATTAATGATTCCTTAAACCTTTGTAATCAACACTTTGCTAATGTAGGTAACAAATATGCACAATACATATTAAACAAACTGTCCAAAACCGAACCTGAATTAGCCCTTTCTATTTCTTCCTTGACTAATAATACCAAATCATTTTTTGTCCATCCAACAAATGCTTATGAAGTTGACAAAATTATCAGTCAGCTTAAAAAGGACAGTGCACCGGGTATTGATGGAATACAAGCTTCGTTAGTAAAATCTATTAAATCTCAAATTTTAGCACCTTTAACGTATATTTTGAACCTTAGTTTATCCTCTGCTGTATTTCCTACATCATGGAAATCCGCATGTGTTATTCCTATTCATAAAAACGGTTCTACAACATCCCCAGAAAATTATAGACCGATCTCATTATTGACGATATTTTCTAAGATTCTCGAAAAAATAGTAAATAATCAATTAATTAAATTTATTTCTCCATACCTACATCCCCATCAATATGGCTTTAGACCTGGTCATTCTACTGAAGATGCTGTATTACACTTAACAAATAAAATCACTTCTATACTAGATGACAAAAGAAATTGTATCGCTGTGTTTCTTGACCTTGCTAAAGCATTCGATACTGTTTCCGTCCCGATTCTTTTAAAGAAACTCGAATACTATGGTATTAGAGGTCTGGCTTTAGAATGGTTTCAGAGTTACCTCACTGATAGATCTCAAATAATTAAAATTGATGAGTTCAGTAGTAAAAAGCTGCCAATAACCTACGGCGTCCCACAAGGCAGTGTCCTCGGACCCACTCTCTTCATAATTTATATCAATGATCTCCTTAGCGTCATTGATAATAATTTTACTAATGTAATCTGTTACGCCGACGACACTGCTCTCATTTTTGATGGCGAGTCTTGGTCTGAAACTTCCCAAAGAGCAGAAAGAGGTCTTAAGAGAACAGTTGAATGGTTAAATAACAACCTTTTAACCCTTAACACAAATAAAACAAAAGCTTTATATTTCTACAAAACCAAATCTTCCGAACCGAAATACCAAATAAAGTTAAAAATTCATGCGGAGTGTTCTAATCCCAGCTTATGTAACTGTCCCGTAATAGAGCAAGTGCACAGCATTAGATATCTTGGTGTTATCATTGATGACAAAATGTCTTATAATATGCACATATCTGGTTTAGCTGCCAAAGTTCGTAGACTGACTCATATCATGTACCGTATCCGTGACGCTGCCGACCCTAAAACTACACTATTAGTCTACACTGCACTTTGCGAATCCATAATCGCTTACTGCATTACTTCGTGGGGAGGATCTGCTATGACTGCTATGCTCGAACTAGAGAGAGCACAAAGAGCGGTGTTAAAAATGTTGCTCAACCGTAGAAAAAGATCTTCGACATTTGCTTTGTACTCGGAGGCTGAGGTTCTCAGTGTACGGAAAATTTTCATATTAAGGACATCTATTTTACAGCATAAAGCTAATGTAAATAGTACCAATGGCCAAAATCTTCATGCAAAGCGAAAATTTAAAGTGCCCATACCGAAGGTTAATTCCTCATTTGCTCAACGTTTTGAGCATTTCCTAGGTCCCTACATTTACAATATAGTCTTAGAAAAATGCGACATTAAGCGAGACTCGGTTTACAAAGCCAAAATAAAATTAAAGTCGTGGTTGCTGAAACTAACGTACAAGGACACAGAGGACATTCTTAAAATAATATGTTAAGTTTATCACTAATGTTTGGCATGTGTAACTTTGATTTAGCTTCTTTTCTAAAACAAATGGCACTTGATTATTTGTATTTTACTTAATTTGTTGCCGTCTAACGAACCTCTGATAAATCTTAAGAGCAGGATCCTCGCGACACAGGCTGCGCCTAGTGCGAGGATACTGGTAAACACTTGTAATACCCACCTTTTTTGTATCCATTAAATTACTTAGCTTAACTTTTTAATGTGAAATTATGTTCTTGGATTTTAATAAATTATTTTTTCATTTTTTCATTTTTCACTAATTGGACAGATAAAATAGAACTTATATTTTTCTATATTACTGTACATACTTTTTGATGCGAAATTCTGGACGGATGGATCGATGAATATTTTCACTACGTAACTCCAAGAGTCCTTGTTCTCGGTTTATGTTTAAAATGAAAATAGTTGTTATTTATTGTAAAATATTGTATTGCAGACAGCGGAGGACGGTACGGCGGTGGCGGTGAGGTGTACGGCGAAGGCTATGCAGCGGAGTACGGCGGCGCGTGCGAGTGGGCCGAGTGGCCCGCTGAGCAGCACGCGCTGCTGCCGCAAGACAAGCTGCCCTACCCCGCCACTGGGCCCTGCTTCACCGGTAGGTTGACACACTACGCCAACCTTTAACTCATCTAGTACTAACATTAGTTGATCTCCTTACGCTCTACGATAGAGCTAGTACTAAGATTCAGTGGTCCAACTATACTAGTTTTCAGAAATCGTAAATAGTCACGTAGATAACAAATAAAATCACAAAAATGAATTACTACTTAGTTTATTTATTAGATGTAAGATTATGTATCAATCTGTGAATATATTTTGTAGATTTGTTCACTTTGTTATATATTAGAAATGTTGAAAGTATATAACGTGATGTTATATAAAATGAGTGGTACATAGTAAAGCGAGCGTGGGTTACTGTGCAGGTTCAGGACCCATACAACTGTGGCAGTTTTTGCTGGAGCTGCTAACAGACAAGAGCTGCCAGGGCTTCATCTCTTG